TTGGAGTTATATTAGATCACAGACTATGTTGGCAACAACATATTGAGTATATGGTCAAGCGTACAGGACTAATACTACAGTCTTTTGCCCAGGTTGCGAAAAAAGAATGGGGCCTGTCCTCGGGGGCGATGTCAATTATATATGATTGCATATATTTCCCAATCATTACCTATGCCTGTGGCACCTGGGGCTGGGTGACAAACAAAGTTCATATCAAACGAAAACTAATATCATCACAAAGAACTGCCTTACTTTTAATAACCAAGGCGTACTGTACTACCAGTAACACCAGCCTTCAAGCCATTGCCAGGAAACCTCCGCTGGACTTATCGATTAAACAAAAAATGAATCTACAAAGAGCTAAATGGGGAGAGACGATCGAACTCAATCATCAAAGAATTACACATAATGAAATTGAATGGCGTTTCCCATACTGTAATACTCACCATTATAATACAGCTGTGCATTATAAAGATAATGAAAATGGGATTGAAAATATCAAAGTGTTTACGGATGGATCAAAACACGATAACATGGTTGGATGCTTCTTTGTAGTTTACAAAAATGAAGAAGAAATATACCATAGAACCATCCGCTTAGATAACAACTGCACAGTTTTTCAAGCTGAACTGTGTGCAATTAAAATGGCCATTATTTGGATATGTAATTTACAGGATAAAGTTAATGCTAACATATGTACAGATTCTTTATCTGCTTTTAATATGATTAATAACACCAATTTACACCCCATTGCAGAAGAGATTCGTAGATTAATAAATCACTCAAATTCTAATATCACCATATCTTGGACACGAGCCCATCAAGGCACAATGGGAAATGAGAGGGCGGATACCTTGGCAAAGCAGGCAGCTGGGGATGTCTCATTACCAATAGAATATGATAAATACAGTATCAGCTCAATTAAAAGATTATTATGGGAAAACACCATCCAAATTTGGCAAAATGAGTGGAACCAAAAAAATACGCATATTACTTATGAATTTATACCAGATCTAAAAAAATTTTACTCTTTGGAATGGTTTTACCCGGACCATACTACAACCCAACTTATGACAAATCATGGCAAATTTGCTAGCTATCTAGCAAGATTTACAAACCGAAATGACAATCAATGCTCTACATGTCTTGCAATTGATGGTTCAAAGCATTATATCTATGATTGTATAAGATTTGAAAGGGAAAGGATAGAACTAATAAGTATACTAGAGAATAATGGAATCAAATGGCCGTGTAAACTATCTGATATCTTGACTAATGGGAGCACTTATAATGCTTTTGTCAGTCTTGCCAAACNCATTTCAACAAGTATAATCCTTTATTGACATCCTTCTTCAGTCATATTTGTAGTTTTCTTCAATGATTAAATATAAACAAAATTTATTTTAACCATCAACATCTTAGATTTTAATGCAAACTTTTTTATTGCTAATAAATACAGTAGAGCATCGATTATCCAACTCAATTAGGGACTGAGGTTGGTCGGATAACTAAAAAAACGGATAATGGAAAAATATGAAAAAATACATTATTAGTATATCCTGTGTAATTAGTATATCGCTATTAACCTACTTTGCGTTGAATTTTCATTGATGTTAAGCCTAACAAAAATTTTTTTAAAATAATAATCATTGCTATTGTATCGTTAAAAATTAGAAAATTAAGCCTCGTTTAAATACTGGCTAAAACACACAAAAATAATATTGAAGTAGCCAAGACAGCCAAATATTGTAGTGCCACATCACTAGCGGACATTTGAATTTGCTTACTAGAACACGGTCGGTTAACCGATGTGACGGTTGATCGGGGGTCAGATAATCGATGCTCTACTGTATAGCCAAAAGATTTTTTTCAAATACAGGTATCTCTTGATTAATGCAGTTAATTAATGCCTCAATGCTACTGTGTACATCAAAATCACATTAATCCATGGGTCGCCAAACTTTTTTGATCATTGACCCCCACCAAAAAGTGTGTGTTACAAGCAAAAAAAAAGCTCTTACTATTTTAATACATTTCTTTTAANCGACGGACATCAAGATTTCGTAAGATAATGTGAAATTTAAGAATACATGAGACGAACATTGCACGTCTGATTAGGCCAGGGGTCGCCAAACGTTTTTGATCGTCGACCCCCTACAACTTTTCGAAACCTCACATCGACCCCCACCAAAAAGTGTGTGTTACAAGCAAAAAAAAAGCTCTTACTATTTTAATACATTTCTTTTAATTTTACATTTTTTACATTTATTGTATATATAAGGGGCAGTCAAATGAAAATGAGACAGATAGGAAAAAGTAAGTAAACTGTTTATTATTTCAAAAGTAATAGCCATAAATGTTAATACATTCATCCCACTGTGAAAAAAGATGGTCAATGGCCTTCATGAAATAATCTTTGCGGTTGCCTATGGAACCATGATTATACCCAGGCATGCATCTCGTCGTCCAAAACAAATCGACGGCCACGAATGTCTTTCATCAGGGCTCTAAAAATATGAAATTAGTGGGGAAAGATTGAGACTGTATGGAGGATGTGTAAGGGCTTCCCAGTGAAACTTCTGCAGCATAGTCGAAACAACCTTGGCAACATGTGGGCAGGCATTATCCTGCAATGGAATGATGCCGTCCATCAACATTCCTGGGTGTTTGGACTTGATGGCATGCTTCAAGTTTTGCTGGAAAGCCTTTACACATCCTCCATACAGTCCCAATCTCTCCCCATGCAATTTCCATATTTTTGGAGCTCTGAAGAGAATTCGTGGCTGTTGATTTGCTTATGACAAAGAGGTGCACGCCTAGGTACAATCATGGTTCCATAGGCAACTGCAAACATTATTCCATGAAAACATTGACCATCTTGTCTCACAGTGGGATGAATGTATTAACAGTTATGGCTATTACTTTTGAAATAATAAACAGTTTACTTACTTTTTCCCATCTGTCTCATTTTCATCTGACTGCCCCTTATATGTTAATAATAATTTTTGTAACTGAAAATCAGTGAGACAGATAAAGCTTGATGATTTTTAGCAACATATGGTTGAAAATTTGTAACTTTTAGTCTTAAATCACCTCGAAGTTCCACATTCAACTTATTTCTTTGTTTGGTTAAGATGGAATTATCATGGCTGAAACCAGCTTCAACCATATACGAACTTCAAAATGCCAGAAAAAAGGATTTATCATATCACAAAGTTTTATGTATTTTTGTATTATATAAATATTTTGTCCAGAAATTGCTCAAATTTAAATTTTTAAAAAGCATTTTTGCTTAAAGGTCAGCTAATAATTCAATAAGTTCATCTTGCAAGTTTTATGTCAACACTGATCAATAGGATGACTATCATGCCAAAATACTGTATAATAAAATAAAATGGAGAAGACACTGAGGTCACTAAAGAAATTTAAGTTGAAACAGCAAATCCACAGCTGTTACATGTACGTTTTTTTATCGCAAGCACTTTCGATGAACTTATAGTCGTCGTCATTAGGCAAATACAGAGATTTACTGAAAAATTAAACGGAAATAATCCGATGTAGAATAGAACACGTAACATTTAAGTTGGAACTTTTGTCAAAGCTGTTGAGAACACGAAACAAATATTCAAATATATTCAAACACAAAACAAGCAGTAAGCTCTGTGATGTGCATGTTGGCGCATGCGCAGAACCAGGCTCACACTATACACACACTGTATTCACCTGATGACGACGACCTCAGTGTCTTCTCCATTTTATTTTATTATGATGCTAACATTTTCGATTTGAACGGAAAATGGCACCATAATTCATTCTGGGATATCAATATTTTCTAAATCTGCAAAATGCTGTACTATTAAATTCATTGAAACAATATTCAAAAACATAATAATATGTATAGTTATATTTGTAATTTTTAGTTTCAATTTTGGGATCGATATCGACCACTTTGGTGACCCCTGCATTAATCAAATAGTAGTACCTTGGTACTCATCCAAACAATCATGACCTGCTAGAACAAATTTTTGGTTAATAACAAATATAAATATTTTTATTTTTTCATCTGCAAAAAAGTTTCCTAGGATAAAAATGAATAGCTAATTTAAAAATAAAATGAAACCTTAGAGTTGCTTACCTTCAGACAAAATTACACTCAATCCAGTTCATTTCTCTCACTTAATGCATGTGGAACACAATCATCATGTCAGTGATACACGAGTTTTTCCAAGTTCATGAGTTGTTTGTCAATTTTTAACAAATTTCTTCCCAAAATTTCTCTTCAACATCTTTTGGGCACCCCATATATTTTGTATCCTTTGTTTGAAAATTTTCCAAACAAAACTTTTAAAACCACATTTGATTAGCCCTACATTTTGGAGCATCTTCCCCATACACACTAAGTATTTTTTGCTATTTGTACAGGATTATCCTTTACAAACAATATTCCTGGTATGCATTTTATCTGTAGATATTTCAATTTGATTTTATGTGAACAAAATGTGAAGTGAAAGTTTAAAATAAGCTTCTAAACAAAAAATATAATATTGCATTAGCAGTATTCAGTTATATGGCAATTATACTAGATATCTTTATCAGAAATTACCCTCGGCATGAAAACAGCAAATTCATGGCTGTTAAAGCTGCTTTAATTAAAATTTCTGTCATGTTTATAAAGGGACTGTCTTGACTAATTTTGTGCATTAATCAAATCCCACATTAAGCAAGAGATAAATGTAAATGTAATGCTTGACTACAGAACATTAAGTTTCAAAATTGCATTGAATTCTAAATAACTCCATTTTGTTTCAAAAGGATGGTCAAACATATTTACATACAGTAAGCATTCTCATTATTATTAAGTACAACTTACAAAATTTTGGTTTATTAAAATTTGCAAAAATTCACAAATCATAGAAAGTATTAATCTTTTATATAACTTTTAAAATCTGAATAAACAAGAATAAAATTTTACACAAATTGTAAAAGAAAGAAAAACTTACATGATCTCGAATGGGAGAAATTGCTGCAGAATTAACAGGACGTTCCGTTTTATAAACTTTCATTAATTCCATCGTGGCTGTATCAAATAACTATAAAAAAAATAGAGAAATTATGTTTTTTGTTTCATGATGATGTTGCCATTACATTCATTAAATATTGCTTAATTATATTTAATATTTAAATTGCTATAAAATATACAGTTTAATTTTTTCCCAAATGACAAAGTTCATTTTATTTTGAAACAGGTTAACATTTTAAAGTATAATTCAGTAAATCTCAAAAAAACTGGATTCTGTTTATTTAACAAAATTCTACACCTTATTTCTCCAGCACAGTTTTTATTTTCATATGCCCAAACAAACAACTTTCCTTTCAAACAGGGGTCAGCAACCTATGAAACACATGATGCTTTTTCAGAGGCACTCTGATTGAACAGAAATGTAGATAAAATTATATTTTAATTATTAATTACACATTTAAATGGAAACCATAGTTCAGTGTAGGCAGTGGTACAGTACATTAAAAACAAATCTCTTGCTTGTATATTTATATTACAATGCATGTATTTATGCTCTGTGTCACCACTGGTCTAATTTTGATGATATATATAACAAAATTGGTAGGATTATGTTGGTACCCATGGAATAACATTATAAGGTTTGGCACAACACTACTGAAAGATTGCCAATCCCTGCTTTAAAATTATAAAAATCTGAAATAAAATCTAAGCATTCACAAATTAAGTAACTATTACATTTACAGTCATTCAGATATTTCATCTTAGTGTGAAAATTTATGGACTGTCACAATATATGTAATTTTGTATTAAAAATACAGGGTTAGCAAGAAATAAGTTCCTACTTCAGAGAGCTCTGGAGTACGTTGTACTGCTCGAAATGAGACAAAATTTGGACTACAGATAATTCAAATGATGCGATTGGCATTTCTTAAATAAAAAAAAAGTACAAAAATCCATTGCTAGATAGTGCTGGAGCACATAGAAATATTGAATATGCAGCAATAAAACTGCTCAACATGTCCTCCTTCGTTTTGAACAATGTGCTCCAATTGTAAAACCATACTAAGACATCATTTTACAGATGCAAGGGTGATCAGCCGTTATTTTCCTACAACATTGCCTCCTTGCTTGCCAGATATCATCCCGTGCAACTTTTGGTTATGGAGTTTCCTGGAGGACAATGTTTATCGTAGAAGACTTGCATCTGTGCCAGATCTGAAAGACAGTATTCGGTGCCATGTTCTGGATATTCCAGCAGACTCACTGCATTAAGCTGTCTTAGTATGGTTTTGCAATTAGAGCACATTGTTCAAAATAAAGGAGGACGTATTGAGCAGTAGAACACACTCCAGAGCTCTCTGAAATGGAAAATTTATTTCTTGCTAACTCTGTATTTTTTTGCTAAATTGAATGTAACCCCAATAAAAGATTAAATTATTGATTTAAATATTCTAACGTATTAAAAGATTATAGACAGTTTTCAAAACAATGCTTTATTAAATTTAGTCAATGAAAGTTAAAAGGGTGATTACTAATTTAGTTTAAATATAATAGAAATCAAATCGAAGATATTTCAAATTACAGAATTTGTGAAATCATTTTCCATAATTGAAAGTACAAAAGCTATTTTAAAATAATTGAACCAAATAATATTTTTCTATTACTGGATATTTGCTTCCATTTTATTTTTATAACCACTTTTGTAATTTTTACATATCCAATTCTAGTATCAAAAATAACACACTGCCATTTGTGTAAGCAGTTTTGTTTTCAAAAAGAACTGCTTACATAAATGACATCAAGTTATCTGCTTTATAAAACGTTTTGACAAACATAAAAGAAAATGCTATTATTTTAGATGCTACATAAAAATGATTTCATAAAGAAAAGTTAAGAAAAATTTTTAAAAATACAACTAACGATTTACACAATTCATAAAAGAAAACTAAAAATAAAAGCATCTGCAATTGTTTGCTATTTTAAAACCCAATAAAAGAATCTTTTCTATTAGAACAACTTTCACTTAACTATAGTAACAACTCATAAAATAAGTTATAAATGCATTTAAACTCTTATAATAAAATTAACAATTTAAAATGAGAATGTTTTATTTATTAAGACAAGTAATAACTATATTTACTTTTAAAACCTTACTACATTAGTAAAATTTTAAAAACCTTAATTATTAACTAATTTTTTCTACATGCTATCAAATTTTCATTTGTATGTAACTATTTTGCTATTTTTCAGGTCTAGATAAATACAATATTTCAAAACTACAAAATAATAATTACACATGAACAGTTTATGCAACTGAAATAAAAATGATTCATTCTTCAATTTGTATTTTTATTATTTTCATTTTAAAATGTCAAAAACAATTTTATTGCAATATACACTGGCAGAAATGAAATCCCAACACCAAGAAAAAATTAGTTTAGAGAAATGAAATTCAGGCAAAGCATTTGTCTATGCAACATATTTATTTGATTGAATTTTTACGGTCACAGACTAAAGTATGTGCAAGATCAATTTCAAATGTGAAATGATGGTACAGTAATTGCCACAACTTTGAAGTGAAGTATGCAAATGTGCATGCATTGTGTTGTACAGATGCCATATGTCATTTTGTGAGATGGAGTTCTTTGCCTATTGAACTTGGTCAGTCAAATCAGCAACAGTTAATGCTAGTTGTGGGTGATACTGAATTTGTCTTCCAATAATGTCCCATGAAAAAGATCTGGTGATCTTGCAGGTCAAGGCAACATGTCGACACTCTGTAAAGCACGTTGGGTGACAGCAGTGGTATGAGGACGAGCGTTATCCTATTGGAAAATACCTCCTTGAATATTCCTCATGAATGGCAGTAGACCAGTTCAATCACCAGTCTGACATACAAATTTGCTGTCAAGGTGCTTGGGATAACAATGAGAGTGCTCTTGCTGTTCAATTCAGTAAATCTCAAAAAAACTGGAAATCGCTCCCCAGATCATAACTCCTGGTGTAGGTCCAGCGTATGTATGCTGCAGACAGCTTGGTTCCAAGTGCTCACCTGGCCTCCTCCTAACCAACATACGGCCATCACCAAGACAGAAATGGCTCTCATCTGAGAACACAACAGATCTCCACTCTGTCCTCCAATGACACCACTTGACACCACTGAAGTCACAAATGGCAGTGATTTGGAGTTAGCAGAATGAAAGTCACAGGGCATATGGCTCAAAGCTGTCCCTCAAGTAATCAATTTGTTACAGTTTGCTGGGTCACTCTGGTGCCAACAGAAGCTCTAATTTTTGCTGCAGATGCAGTACAATGTGTCACAGCCATGCGCTGAATACAGCAGTCTTTCCTCTCAGTATCGGCCCACCGTGTGCAGCCAAACCCAGGTCTTCTTGAGACAGCACCTTCCTGTGACTACAGCTGCCAACAATCATGCACAGTGAATACATTCCTGCCAAGTCTTTCTGCAATAGTGTGGAAAGAAAATCCACCTTCTCGTAGCCCTATTACACGGCCTCGTTCAAACTCAGTAAGCTGCTGATACTGCCTTCTTCGTCTCCTTAAAAGCATTCTTGACTCAAACCTTAACTCACAATGTTCAATCTGGACAATAAATAACACTCAACAAGTTTACATCCTGTATTTACAGCAAACATGATTTGCATGTTCATAGTGGCACTATTCACGTGTATTTGTCTAGTGCAAAATTTGAATAGTCATCATCTTTCAGATATGAAAACACACCTATCAAGTTTTGTTTATCTAGCACAACTCTTTCTTGGTGTTGGTATTTCATTTTCCACCAGTGTATATAAACAAGTAAACCTGTTACATTGAGACAAATATTGCAAAATAAATAAAACACATATTTTTTCTTTAAGAATTTATTTTAAAAACTCTTATAGGTACATATAGCTCATATAAGTAGATTCAAAATAGAAATAGACACTTGCTTGAAATACACTGCAGCAATGAATAGAATTTTCTTCCAGCTACTCCAACCAGGCACATATATTCTTTCAATTCATTTACATTTTATAAAAAAAAGTAAATAAAAAATGAACTAACCTTTGCCGTATGATCTTTAGAAGCTGTTATAAACATTGTCTGATCTTTATTATACTGAATGTCGTTAATTGTTCCCCTATGTTCGTACACAGATTTTATTTTACTTCGAGTCTAGAATTATTACAAATGTAAATTATTAATGTCTGTAATAAATGGAAATAATTATGCATTTAGCCATAAAAAAAATCTTAGCACCAAGCTTACTTTAATGTCCCACAGTGCCAGCTCTCCATCGTCATGACCCGTTATTAAAGTCTGGTCCAGAGGTCCCCAAAGAGCGCTCGTTACTTTAGGCCCGAGAATGTTAAAACTGGTAACACAATTATTTTCTAAAAGAAAAATAACCAATTCATAATATAATTATCAGCATTTATTATTTTTGTCATTTTTAAGATATGAAATAAGACATCTTCAAGAAGTTCTTAAATTAACTACTCAAAAAGTTATAATTTTAATTATTAAATTTTAAGTAGTTATAAAATTAATATTTATAGAATAGTAATAATACATATTTCTGATTTCAAAAAATAATGTTGAGATCCTGGCATAACCAAATAAATCCTTGTTTTCAATTCATTTTCAATTTTATACAAGAAAACTATTTAACATCAAGTTCAATGCTTTTGAAAATATTTATAACTCCTAAATTCATTATTACAGTAGAGCGTCGGTTATCCGAAAGAATTCCAGTCGAAAAATTTAAATTTTCGCTAGTGCTGTGGAGCTGCAATCTTTGGCTATGCCTTGGGCTACTCCAATATATTTTTTTGTTGGTGTGTGTGTTTTAGCTGGCAGCACTGGCTCTTTTGTGTGGTGTTTTTCTGAGGACTGTGTAGTGCTGAATCAAACATTTTTGATACTAGATTAACTTCTAAAATATAATTTTTTTTTGTTTTTATATTTTTCAATATATTTATTTTGTTTGTAAAAAATAAAGAAACAATTTTTAATGATACAATAGCCACTATTATTATTTTAAAAAGTTCATGTTAGGCTTAACATCAATGAAAATTCAACACAACGGAGGACACACAATGGAGAAAAATTTCAACATGGGATAGGTTAATATATTTTTTCGTACATAATCGGTTATCTGAAAAATAAGTTATTTGAACAACCTCAGTCCCCAATTGATTCGGATAAATGATGCTCTACTGTATTTATTTAATCTTTAATATTTTTAGAATGCCAATAAATCATTTGAGAAATATATCAGTTAGTTATTTAAATAAATTATTGAAATTAAAATTTGGACAATTGACAATTTTCTTTATTTTCAATCATTTAAAATTTCTAAACTTTTGAATTAAGTAGAAAAGCAAGGAGGTAATTTAATGGATGGATATAAGGCCTTGTAATCTAAGACAGTCATTAATTCCTCATCCTTTGAATTATTTATTTTGAAGTTTAAGTAAAGTTAAAGAAAACGAAAAATATGAATAATATCCAAAATATTGTGTATCTTGCTTAGCAAATTTGTATATAAGATTTAACAATTGGTGATTTACTCAGAATCATAGGTTATGATCATTGTGACAAGTATTTTTAACATCAGACAAAAAGTTTTACAAACAGAATTAGCATGATAAAAATCTTATACTTTCTAATTCCAATGATATATAATCTTATAATTGTTTTATTACATGATTTTACGAGGGTAGTCCCAGAAGTACGTGATCTAACACACAAAAAATTTGGTAAAACATATCTTTATTTTTCAACATAGTCTCCTTTTAGCTCGATACACTTTTTCCAGCAATGTACAATAGCTTCGATCCCCTGTTTATAGTGAGAACTGTCGAGCTTCTCAAAATAGCCATCAACCGCAGACTCCACCTCTTCATTGTTGGCAAATCTTTTATCACTAAGCCATATTTTTTTAAGTTTGGAAAGAGAAAATAATCCAAGGGGGCTAAATCTGGCAAATAGGGTGCGTGAGGAAGCAATCTGAACCTTAACTCATTGATTTTGGCCATCGCAATAACGGATGTGTGAACTGGTGCGTTGTCTTGATGAAACAACACTTTCTTTTTCACCAAATGTGGCCGTTTTTTCTTGATTTCATCACTCAAGCGCTGCAATAAGTT